AATGGGCCCCTGACGCCCAGCTGGGGTGGGGGGAAGAACCCCACAAGAGGGCGAGCCCCTTTCTGTGCAGGCCGGGGGCGGCGGCAGGCTGAACTTATCCCCTGCTGCTCCCAGGCCGAAGGAAGACGTCAGGGACCGGGCAGCTTTCTGGCACACAAAGCACAAGGTAGTAGCACAAGTGAGCGGAGAGTCGGGGGCAGCTTCACACACAAACACCCACACCCCACTTAACAAGCCATATCCCTCTCACGACTCCTGCACCTTGGGCTGGGGGGCCCAGCGAGGCAAAGGTCTTTTGGCGTTTTTTTGCACTAAACGGGGGGGGGGGGGGGGCACGGACCCCAGCGCTGAAGCTCCACCGGGCCAAGAGGCTGAGATATCTGGCCCAGAGCCGTGCGGGGGCCCAAGCCCACCTCCCTCTGGTGACCGCCGTCCTGAGAGAGAGGGCCTGCGGGACAGCCTGCCCCACCGAGGGGCAGCCACCGGCCAACCTGAGCTTGTCTGTCCCTTTGGGAATGGGAGATGGGTGAGGAGACAGACACAGGCGTCCTCGAGGCTGGTGCTGGCTTGGAACGCAGAGGCTGGGGAACCTGGACTGTGGGGGATACCCAGAAGGCCCCTGGTTTAGCCCACCCCACCCCTGACAGCCGCAGAGACAAAAGTGGGGGCAACCCGTATTCACACATACAGATGGGAGGGGGGGACGACAGCATCTTCATCCTTTCCCTCATCTTATGCATCAAGAGTGACTCTTATTAGCACCCCGCTTCTTGCCGGCACTGCCCTCCGTTAGGTAAATAAATATATTCCTTTTCAACACAGCCTTTAAACGGGTGAAGGTCAGGGGAGAGGTGGTGATTGTAGCAGATGCGCCTGTGTGGCAAAGCTGGTGCTGGAACTGCAGTCTCTGGTTGAACCAGCTTTTCACTGCATGAGGTGGGTGCATTTATACAAACACAGACAACTAAAGGATTGCAGGGATTTCTGACCACGGGGGATTAAAAAGGGGGGGGGAATTAAACTTGCCCTTCGTCTCCAGCGGATGGGGGTCCCAGAACAAACCTGCCACCCGTGTCCCTCCGGCTCAGCCGACTCTCCTCAGCTTCTCTCAGTGCCGATAGCCAAACTCCACTTGCCGCCATCTGTCCACACCGAACCATCCCAGCTGCATGCCTGGTCAGGGGGGGGGGGGTTGATGCACTCGCTAAGGCCTGGTGGAGCGCCGCTTAATCCTTGCTCATCTGAACAGACAACTCTAGGGCAGATTTTTGCCAGTGGTGTCACCTGGCCGGCAAAGGCCAGCCCTAGCCTCCCTCGTTCCGAGTGTAGTTTCCACAGCCCCCCTCCTGTTGTCAGGGCAGTTTCATCTGTTGATGCTTCCGTGACCCCCCCTCCTCCCCCCCTCGATTATCCAGAAGTCTGTAAAATATTGTAATTGCTTTAAATAAACTTTTTTTTGTCTTGTATAGAAAAAGAACCATCAACACTGCAGCATTTTTGGTTTGCACTTCCTTTCTGTTCTTGGGGCTTTAAATCCTTGCTGAGGTTTCCTTTCTTCCAGACAGAGACCGTGAGCCAAGCCTCCTCCTTGCTCAGTGCAGGGGAAAGGAAGGGTCCTGGAACCGGGCTGAAACCCAGAGTGTGTGGTTGGGTCTCATTCTGTGGTAGAGTAGGTACCAGGTTTGCACATTTGAGAGGCCGTAACCTAGCAGTTCGAAAGCAAGAAATTGCAAGTAGATAAATAGGTACCACTTCAGTGGGAAGGTAACAGCGTTCCGTGCGCCTTGGTGTGTCTTCGGACAGCGCTGGCTCTTCGGCTTTGAAACGGAGATGAGCACCGCAACGCTAGGGTCAGATTAGACTGGTTTTCGAGCAAGGGAACCTTTACCTTTAATTAGGATAGCCTGTAAGGACTACAAGGAAGGCTGAGCACCGAAGAATAGATTCTTTTGAATTATGGTGCTGGAGAAGACTCTTGAGGGTCCCTTGGACTGCCAGGAGATCAAATCAGTCAATCCTAAAAGAAATCAACCCTGACTGTTCCCTGGAAGGCCAGAGACTGAATCTGAAGCTCAAATACTTTGGCCACCAAAGGAGAAGGGAGCCCTCACTGGAGAAGAAGACCCTGATGCTGGGAAAGATTGAAGGTGTAAAAGAAGAAGGGGACAGCAAAGGATGAGATGGTCAGACAGTGTTATCGATGCAACGGGCATGAAATTAAGCAAACTCCGGAGGATGGCGGAAGACAGGAGGGCCTGGTGGGATGGGGTCTGTGGGGTTGCGAAGAGTTGGACTCGACTGTGCGACTGAACAACAAAAAAAGAACAGCCAGGTCTGGATTGGGAAACACCTGGAGATTGGGGGGGTGGAGCCTGGGGAGGGGCCTCAACATGGTGTAATGCCATGGAACCCACTCCCTCCCAAGCAGCCATTTCCCCCCGGGGGAAACTGATTTTGCTTGTCTGGAGATCAACTGTAATAGTGGGATATCTCCAGGAGGCTGACGGCCCTGCTCCAGATGGGTAATACTACTGGGGCAGGCAGACCAACGTCTTGAGCCGGGGGGTGGGGGTGGCCTCTAGGAAAGTAAAACAGATGGGGGGGGGTTTCTTCTTCCAGAGGCCATTGCACATGGCCCTCGACCCTCTCCAGTTTCCCAAAAACATTTCGTCTTCCCAGAAGCCCCGGGTGGCTACCTGGGTGCCGGTAGGTAGCCCCACCCCCTGTACTATGTGGCCTTACGTAAGGGAATTAAATTGCACTTGCAATCTGCCTTTAAATCGCTCTGAGACCTTCGGGTCTGAGCGGTATATAAACCGAATGTAATAATAAATAATAATAATTCCAAGGGGCCCGGCCATGTGCTCAAGGAAGCTGCAAGGGAGAGGGCTCCTCCTTGCCATCCTGTAAGGCCACTGAAGGCCCCAGTCAGAGACACCAGGAGGAGCGTGACTAACGGGGGGGAGGGGGCAGGGGGTGTGTGCCCCAGGGGTGAAGAAGACCCTGCCCTTTCTCCCCACCCCTTACAGCCTGCGGGCTTCACAGGGCGGATTCTCTTCTGCGCAAAGAAACCCCGCAAAGGGCAGCAATGAAACCACCTGCTTGCTTTGCACTGTGCCCCCCCACCACCACCACTACTGGAGCTGGAAAGTTTTGATGGGGGCCCAGGCCGGTCCACGCAGGAGGAGAGAGGCCTCTTTTCAGCCATAAGAACATAAGAGAGGTCCACGTTGCATCAGGCTAGTAGCCCATCTAGTCCAACTATGGCTGCCAGCTCCCAGGTGGGAGTGGGGGATCCCGATTTGGCAGGCTCCTGCCGAGTGGGGGGAAGCCCCGCTCCCAACTCCCTGTCGCAATGTCTCCAGCGTGATGACGTCACTATGCCAGGAACGTCGCATGTGGCGATGTCACCCCTGCACTCCCAGAGAGCTCTCTGTCACATGGTTGCCAAAACCCAGGTTCCATCAGGAGGTCCACCAGCAGGGCCAGAACTCCAGAAGCCCTCCCACTGTTCCCCCCCCCCCCCAAGCACCAAGAAGACAGAGCATCCCTTGCCCCAGACAGAGTGTTCCTTCTCTATGTTGTTGGTTGGGTTTTTTTTATACCCCGCTTTTCTCCAACCAAAGGAGTCTCAGAGTGGCTTACAATCGCCTTCCCTTCCTCTCCCCGCAACAGACAACCTGTGAAGTAGGTGGGGCGGAAAGAGCTCTGAGAGAACTGTGACTGGCCTAAGGTCACTCAGCTGGCTTCATGTGGAGGAGGAGGAGTGGGGAATCAAACCCGGTTCTCCAGATTAGAGTCCGCTGCTCTTAACCCCAGCTCCACGCACACCACATTGTGGCTAATAGCCACTCATGGACCTCTGCTCCATACGTTCATCCAGTCCCCTCTTGAAGCTGTCTGTGCTTGTAGCCGCCACCATCTCCTGTGGCAGTGAATTCCACGGGTTAATGTTTCTTTTGGGCGAAGAAGGACGCCCTTTTACCTGTTCTAAGACTACTGCTCATTAATTTCACTGAGTGCCCACAAGTTCTTGTATTGAGAGAAAGGGAGAAAAGGACTTCTTTCTCTGCCTTCTCTATCCCGTGCATGATTTTGTCAAGCTCTGATTCATGTCACCCTCTTCAGCCGTCGTTCCTCCAGGCTAAAGAGCCGCAAGTGTTTTAACCTTTCTTCATAGGGAAAGTGTTCCAACCCGTTTATCATTCCAGTTGCCCTTTTCTGCACTTTCTCCAATGCTGTAATATCCATTCTGAGGTGGGGTGGCCAGAACTGTACACAGTCCTCCAAATTTGAGGCCGCACCATCGATTTCTACACAGGGGCATTGTGCTACTGGCTGGTTTTGTTTGCAGTGAACTTCCTAATGGTCCCCCAGCACAGCAGTTGGCCCTTTTGACTGCAGTCAGCCGCAGGCGAAGAGAGCTTCCTGCAGCCAAAAAATTTTTTGGGGGGAGCCTGAGGCGCCTCCTTTGGCGAAGCCTCCGTGGCCAGACGCGGCCTACCCGGAAGGGCCACTCCTAGGCCTGAATCCACCTGCTTCGACCTTTAACCTTTGACTTTTAAACCCGAACCTCTAACCCTACCGGGCTGCTGCCTGCGATTGGCCGAGTCGCACCCAATGGTGATGCCGAAGAGGCGGGTCCTTGGCTAGCCATCCAATCGGCGGGAGGAGCTACGGCGCCAAAGCCAACGGCGGAGGAGATCGCGCTCTGTTTACACACAGCGAGTCCCGCCTTTGGGAAGGCTACCCCAATCGCCGCACGGAGAGCGGTGCCGCATAGCCAATGGTAAGAGCGGGTGGGCGGTCCGGACGAGGCTGAGGGAGCCGCACGGAAGCGCTCCTACCAATCGGGGGCCGAGCGGGGCGGGCCTGCGGGCCTCGCGGCCAATCGCAGCTGGCGCCTTCGGAGGGGCCGGGAGCCAATGGCGGCGCTGGCTCCGGGACCCGGAAGCGCGGCGGGGCGCTGGCTCCGGGACCCGGAAGCGCTGCGGGGAGCCGGGCGATGGCTGGGCCGAGGAGGGGCGGCGGGGTGGAGCTCGTGCAGCTGAACGTGGGCGGCAGGAGGCGAGTCCCGCCGGGGGGCGCGGCGCCCGGGAGGCGCTCTTCGGCGCCCAGCCCTTCCGCGCGGCCTACCTGGCGGGGTTGTTGTGGGGGGTGCGGGATCGCGGGGCGGGGGATTAGATGGCCTCCAATGCTCCCTCTAAGCTGTGGAGCCCTGTGAGCAAAAGTTCTTCAACTTTGCGAGCTGCCGCCATGAAAGTTGTGATCAAGATAGATTACTTTGCTCTGGAGCCCCATCCGTCCTGAGCAAAGACAAAAAATGTGTGAGCCGGAGGCTGAAAAACTGTGAGCCAGCTCACACTGCCTCAGCTTAGAGGGAACATGACTCATCTCTTTATTTAATTCATTTATACCCCGCTTTTTTCCTCCTCATGGGGAGCCAAAGCCGCTTAATGTTTTATTATCTCGTTCATTTTATCCTCACAACAACCCTGTGAAGTAGAGTTAGGCTGAGAGAGTGTGACTGGCCCAAGGGCACCCAGCGAGCTTCCATGGCACGAGCGGGGATTCGAACCCCACATCTCCCAAATCCTATTCTGACACTCTGGGACCACTGTACCAGGCTGGCTCTCTAGGCCCAGATGGGCTCCGATGATGACATCAGCTGGTCCCAAAAGTTGCTGCCCCAAGGCAGTGGGGAGGGGGAGCATCGCTATATACAATCCAGACTATGATGATAGCTGACTGTATGCCTTTGTTGGATGCTGCTAATGCCCACCATTGTTATACGAATCACACTAGCACTTTATGTTATGTTTTAATAATTTTACTGTTGTGATTTTATTCAGTTTGTCTGTTTTAGTTGTCCAATGCATTTAATTGTCCAATGGCAGGGAGGGCGGGATACAGATTAAATAAATAAATAAATGATTATTAGGGTGCAAACACTGGCCCAGCCTGACAGCTCTTTCCCCCCCCTCTCTGCAGGTTCAGCACCTCTCGCCAGACCCTCACGTGGATCCCAGACTCCTTCTTTTCCAGGTACCCTCCAGAGAGAAGAGCGATCGGTAGGGCAGGGGAAGAGGGTGGGGACGGCTGGAGGGGCCCGGCCGAGTGCTGGCAGTGTACAGCTGCCTGGCCGCCCCCAGGTGTTTTTCAGGGGCTGCAGCTCTCTCTGAAGGGGGATGAAAAAGCTGCACGGGGCTGGGGAGGTGTGACTCAGGGACATGGTGCCTTGCCTGGTGTGCAGGGGACCCTGGGCTGGTACACGACAGGTCCAGATAGTGTTTCTCCTGTAGCTGGTGTTTCTGCCAGAGACCCATGAGAGTGGCTGCCAGTCAGAGGAGGCTGTCGTGAGCAAGATGGGCCTCATGTCTGGCTCACTATATGCAATGCTCCCTCTAAGCTGTGGAGTCTTGTGAGCAAAAATTCTGCTTTGTGAGCTACTGGCTTTAAAGTTGTGAGCGAGTGATTTGGCTACTGCATAAATTAGTTTGCTCCGGAGCCATTCTTCCTGAGCGAAGACAAGAATCTGTGAGCTAGCTCACATTATCTCAGCTTAGAGGGAACACCGACTATAAGGTAGCGTCACACATTCAGGGGAATGGAGGAGAGGGGGCCTCCCTGAGCTCTGTTGCCTGGCTTGTACTCATTCAGGCATTGCTCCGTCGTGTCTTACCTGCCATCTGTCTGATTTGCAGCCTCCTCAGTGGCCGTATTTCCACCTTGAAGGATGAAACGGGTGCCGTGAGTAAATTGTAAAACCTTTTTCTCGGCTCCACTGAAGCAGGAGGAGGAAGAGCGCTTTGGAGATACTGTGGGTGTTGGGGCCGTACGGCATAACTCTCGGGTGTCTTGAGTGCGCTGTCGACGGAGGGCAGAGAATCCCTTCCACCTTAGTAGAGTTTATGGATTTAAAATATTTGTCAGCTGCCTTTCTAACTTCTGGAACATGAGGCGACTTACAATATAAATAAAAAATATATACAAAACAAAATTAAAAGCATTACAAAAAATCAGGATTATTTTTTTAAGTTCAATTAGGACTGCTAATTAATAAAAACTCAATCAATCAAATGCGGTTCTAAATAAAACTGTCGTAAACTTCCCCCTGAAGACTGACAGAGAGGGGATCTGGCAGACCTCCCTGGGGAGGTCTTTGTTAATACTTGTGGAGCTGCCACCAGATCTTGGGCCTTCCCTTCCAGGGACTGGGCTGCCTTTGTGGCATGAGACACGCCTTTCTGCCTGGGTGGGGTGCCCAGCGCCAGGCTGTTTCTTTGCTCATCATGAGGGAAATCTTGATGGGGTGCAGTGTTTTGAGATGTTATAGTTATCTGCCACAGAAGCCTTCTACAGGGAGTGGGAGTCTCTACACAGAAGCTGTGGGGCCTAAGCAGCAGGAGTAGCCCCTGGCCAGGGCTTCTTCGGTAGCCACTAGGCATCCCAGCGGGAAGTAGATTAAAAACAAACCCTGTTGCTTTCTCCCAGATCTTCATCGACCGGGACCCTAACATCTTCGCTCCCATCCTGAACTTTCTCCGGACCAAAGAGCTTGACCTCAGGTATGATGGGAGAGCGTGAGCTGGGGAGGGAAAGGCATTGGGGTGTGTGTGTGTGGGGGAGAGCTGAGAGCACATTGGGGGGCCTTTCCAGTCACCAGGCTGGGGGTGGTGATGGCCATGCAGAATGCCTGCGCTTCCTTGCCTCTGGCGTGTGTGTGTGTGTGTGTTCTGCGCCCCGTCCTGCGGAGCAGCTCCTGGCCTGCTTTCTCTGGATTCCCCTTCCCCGGTAGGCTCAGCAGCACCTTCTTCGGCCCGCTGCCATCCTGTTTCTAGGCTTCCTGGCCTGAGGTCAGATCCCAGAAGGGGAGATACCTGGTATCTCGTTTTGCACAATGTTGCTAGCTGCTTTCTGGTTCCTGATACCTGCGCGTGCTCCTTCCCTGTGCAGGCCAGTTGCAGAAGCTGGGGGGTTTCGTCTGGCTTTGCAGGGCAGGGCAGGGCAGGTGCTCTCCTTACCGTCTGTGTTGTGCCCTAGGGGGACCAACATCTCACTGCTGCTGCACGAAGCAGAATTCTACGGGATCACTCCGCTAGGTACGCCCCGGGCATTGTCAGGGAACTCTTGGAGTGTGGTGGGGGTCGGGAGCCCCTTGCAGTTGTGTCTGGGGCTTGTCCCTTCCCTTTTCCTCCAGTTTTATCAGTTCAGCCTGCTTCCGTGGGGGGGGGAGTGCGTGTCAGTGAGGTCAGGGTTCAAAGCCCTCCTGCCGCTCACCCCCCTGTCTTGGTCTCACATCCTGCCCAGTTCGCCGCCTGCAGCTGCGCAATGAGCTGGAAGAGTCGTCTTGTGGGAGCGTCCTTTTCAATGGCTACCTGCCCCCTCCAGGTGAGGAGAGGCCGTGCGGCTCTCTTGGGCAGCCCGGGGGTCAGGAGGGGCTTCCGGGGGGCCCCGCCCCACTCCGCCGGCCCCGCCCACTCCTCTCCTCTCCTCCCCTCCTCAGTGTTTCCTGCCAAGCGGTGGAACCGTCACAGTGTCGCAGGGCCGCAGCTGGCCATCCGGTCGGGGAGCCTCTCGGAGCGGGGCCTCCTCGTGCGGCGGAGCAACACCATGCCTCCGAACCTGGGCAATGCCGGGCTGCTGGGACGGCTGCTGGAAGAGAGGGGTGCAGGCGCTGGTAGGTGCTGCGCAAGAGCCGAGGGCCGTGCGGGGGCCACCTGGCAGAGGCTGTCGGCAGGGTGTGTGTGTGTGTGTGTGTGTGAAACCGTTCTGTGGCTGTGAGTGCTTTGGCCCCATGGCTGAGCCTCAGTCCTCCCGGGCTGCGAAAGGGGAGTAAGGATAGCCACTCTGCCATGAGGAGCTTAGCAGGGCTGGGTCCCGACTGACCAAGGCTTGCGGGAGAACCGTCGTGGATCTGCGGGCCCCGCAAGAGAGGCCGAGAGCCCCCGTGGCCGCTCAAGTCAGAGGCCATCACTGGTCATGAGAACGTCAGAGAGAGAAGCCCATGGTGCTGGATCAGGCCAGTGGCCCATCCAGCCCAACACTCCGTGTCACACAGGGGCCAAAAAGACCAGATGCCGTCAGGAGGTCCACCAGTGGGGCCAGGACACTAGAAGCCCCTCCCACTGTTGGCCCCCCTCCCCAAGCAGCAAGATGACAGAGCATCCCTTGCCCCAGGCATAAGAGAACATAAGAGAAGCCAGCGTTGGATCAGGCCAGTGGCCCATCCAGTCCAACACTCTTTGTCACACAGTGGCCAAAAATACCAGGGGCCATCGGGAGGTCCACCAGTGGGGCCAGGACCGCCAGCCACCGATGGACCTCTGCTCCATATGCTTATCCAATCCCCTCTTGAAGCCGTCCGTGCTTGTAGCCGCTGCCACTTCCTGTGGCCGTGAATTCCGTATGTTAATCACTCTTTGGGTGAAGAAGGACTTCCTTTTATCCGTTCTAACCCGACTGCTCAGCAATTTCATGGAGTGCCCACAAGGAGTTTTTGTATTGTCCATTTTTCCTGGGCAACAGCAGGTAGGAAATGTACCCCGAAGGTGGACTTTGGTGGGCATACAAGCCCAGCCGGAAAGGAGGGCATTTCTCTGGCAGGGCAGGTGAGAGATGGCGTGGCCTCGCGGCAAGAGCGTCTCATTCCAGTCCCTGCTCCATCACTGTGCTCTCAGGCCAGCCCGTCTTTGTTGTGGGCAAGAGCCCCAGGTGCTGCCCTGAGCCCCTTGAAGGCCGTACGCGCACGCTGGCGAGGGAGAGGTGAGAGTCCAGCACCCTCCGAAAAGGAAGGGGCTGCTTTGGGGGCTGGCTGCCGACTTGGGCTCCGGGCTGGGAGGGGAAGAGTTCCGGGGCTTTTTGCTCACGGCTGCTTCCCCACGCGTCTGCTGTACAGAGCTGCCCCATTCTTCCAGCCCAGGACAGCCTCAAGGGGTTTTCCTCTCCTCCTTTTTGATTTCACAGCAGCCCTGTCAGGTAGGCTAGGTTGAGGGCGGGCGAGGAGTGACCGAGTGAGCTTCCTGGCGGCAGAGGGAGGGTCTGGGCCCTGGCCTTCCCACTCTCTGCCTGCTGGGCTCCACCCCTGTTCTCCCTCTTTCTGCAGGTGCCACCAGCGACCCGGGCATGGTGCGCCTCGTGTGCGGGCATCATAACTGGATAGCCGTGGCCTACGTCCATTTCCTGGTCTGTTACAGGTAATGCTGCCGGTCGAGGGGTAGGAGGCAGGGCCGCGGGGTTCCAGACGCGCCCTGAGCGGACCCTGCCCGATCTCTCACCCACAGGCTGAAAGAGACCTCCGGGTGGGAGCCGGCCTTCTGCAGCCCCCGGCTGGAGTGGGTCATCGAGCGCGTGGCCCTGAACGCCCGGGTCATCGGCGGCTCGCTGGGGGATGACAAGATGGTGGCTGCCGCCTCCTGCAGCGAGATTCTCCTTTGGGCGCTGCAGCCCGACGGGAGCGGCGTGGAGATTGGTGAGGGCGGGGGGGGG